GTGGTGGTGGTGGTGTGGTGGTAGGTTGTTCTGGTGGTGAGGCGGTGGTTGTGGCGGTGGTGGTGGTGTGGTAGACTGGTGGTGGTGGTGGTCGTGGTGGTGGGTGTGGTGGTGGTCGTGGTGGGTTGGTTGTGGTGGGTGGTGGCTATGGTGGTGGTGGTGGTTGCATTGTGGTTTGTGGTGGTGGTGGTGGTTGTGGTGGTGAGTTGTGGTGGTGGTGGTAGTGGTGGTGGTGGTGGTGGTAGGGTGGTGGCGGCGGGTGGTGGTGGAAGCGTGGTGGTTGTGGTGTGGCTGTGATGTTGTTGGTGGTGGTGCTGCTGGTTTTGGTGGTGGTGGTGGTAGTGGTGGTGTGTGGTGGTGGTTGTGGTGGAGGTGGTGGTGGTGGTGGTGGTGTGGTGGTTTGCAGTGGTGGTGGTGGTGGTGTTGTGGCGGTGGGTTGTGGTGATGGTGGTGTTGGCGGTGGTGGTGGTGGTGGTGGTGGTGGTAGTGGTGTGGTGACTTGTGGTGGTGGTGGTGGTCGTGGTGGTTGTGGTGGGTTACGGTGGGTTGTGGTGGGTTGTGGTGGTGATGGTGGCGTTTTTGGTGGTTGTGGTGGTGCAATGGTTTGTGGTGATGGTGGTGGTGGTGGTGGTGGGTTGTGCTTGTTGTGGTGGTGGTGGTGGCGGTGGTTGTGGTGGTGGTGTGGTGGTTTGTGGTGGTTGTGGTGGTGGTGAGGCCTTCGGGGCTTCCCGCCACCGTGTTTTGGCTTTTGGTCAGGTGGTGGTGGTGGTGGTGGGCTGTGGTAATGGTGGTGGTGGGTGTGGTGGTGTTTGTGGCTGTGGCTGTGGTGGTGGTGGTGTGGTGGTTGGTGGTGGTTGTGGTGGTTGTGGTGGTGTAAATGGCGATTTGTGTGTCCCCTCTGCGGCCTTTGGGCCCTCTCTGGTCATCGTCGCTGCGTTCCCGCCGTCGGTGCTGCTGGCCGCCGCCAGCGCTGGCGCTGGCGCCGGCGCCGAGGGGGGGCGGGGGGCTTGGACCCCCCCCCCCCCTCCCTGGGCCCTCGCTGGTCATCGTCGCTGCGTCTGCCGTCGGCGCTGCTGGCCGCCGCCAGCGCTGGCGCCGGCGTCAGGGGGGGAGGGTGTTTTGAACCCCCCCCCGCCCGGGAGGGGGGGGGGTTGGGGGGGAGGGGGTGAGTTAGGGGGGAGGGGAGTCCCTCTGGTTCTGATCGACGGCGCCCAGTGTTGGGGGGGGGCCCATCCCCTTGTTAGTTAGAGACGCGCCGCCGAATGTTCCCAAGGCAAGCTCCCGTGAAACGCGCTCTCTTACAGATTAGGGTCATCGTCCGAACCGCGCCTTTCCCGGCGGGTGCTGGCTACTCACTGGGATCAATTCTGGGCGCCCTTCTTGGAATCCTTATCTTGATAAAGAAGTAGCACGAATCCTTTGGGAGGGGTCCCAAGTTAGGAGGGCCGGAGTATATCGTGTCGGATCTTCTTTCTCAGCATCTGCGCTATGTGCGCTGTGTTTCCAATGGCAGGAACGACGGCCAGAAACTTATCTAAGACGCCTACGGCGAATCACCGCCGCCCCCCGGCCTTTTTGGAAGCGCCTATGTGGCCGAACGTTGAGGCCAGACCTGCCACGCTATCGGACCATGTTTTCCCCGAATCGGTTTGGAAAGCCTTCGGGGAACACGTGGGCATCTTGAAGGTTATCTTGGCCGTCTGGAGGCCATTTTGACCCTTTCGGGCCTTCTTGGAGGACGTCTTGGAGGGCTCTTGGGCCGTCTTGGAGGCCATCTTGTGCGTCTTGGTGGCCTCTTGGGCCGTCTTGGGGGCCTCTGGGGGCCGTCGTGGGCCTCTTGGTCGATCTTTGGGGGCACTTGGGCCGGGCCGTCTCGGGCCGTCTCGGGCCGTCGGAAGGCCGAAAGAAAGCACATGCCACAATCCTTCAAAAAATCATGAGAAATCAATGTTTTTGGTATTTTCGGCCCTTCCTGGAGGCCCTCTTGGAAGCCTCTTGGGCCGTCTTGGGCCATCTTAGGGCCATGTTCGGCCGTTTTGGTGGGCTCCTGGCCCGTCCGATGCCGTCGGAAGCCGTTTGGGGGGCTTCTAGGCCGACTTGGGGCCCTCTTGGAATGCTCCAGGGCCGTCTTGGAGGCCATCTGGGGCGTCTTAAAAACATCCTGTGCCGTCTTGGGGGCCTCTTGGGGCCGTCTTGGGGGCCTCTTGGGCCGTTCTGAGGACATCTTGGAGGCCTGTTGGGCGATCTTTCGGCGATCTTTGGGGGCTCTTGGGCCGTATCGGGCCTTCGGATGGCCGGAAGGAAGCAAATGTCAAAATCCTTCAAACACCTAAGGAAAATCACTGTTCTTGACCTTTCCTGGCCTTCCTGGAGGCCCTCTTGGAGGCCTCTTGGGCCGTCTTGGGCCAGCTTCGAGCCAACTTCGGCCATCTTGGTGGGCTCCTGGCCCGTCTAACGCCCTCGGAAGCCGTTTGGGGGGCCTCTCTGGGCCGACTTGGGG